GCCAATAATGAAATAATTTTGTAATAAACTATCAAAATCGATAGCTTAGTATTAATAATGCACTTTATCTTGCTTACCATTACCATTTAACCTATTAAATCAAAGTGTCAATCACTACCTTAACTGCCGAGTTATTGCAAATGAGCGATAGTAAAGAGAAAATAACCTTTCACTACTGAACAACTTTTAAATACACACTGATTATCAAAAATGGATTCTTTGTTATTTTATTAACAAGCTTACATTTTTATTATTATTTTTTTTTTAAAAAACGGTAATAGACTAGAAAATTTGCACATGCTATTATCATACTGGGGTGGGGCACTAACTAATTAATTAAACCTATGTTAGCTAACCATATAATATCATACTCCAGATTTTCATGTTACACGAAAGTAAAATCATTCTATCGTTATCAGTTATATTAATTATTTCAAACAATTTATTTGCATATTAATTATTTATTTCATTCAAATAAATCATCGAGCAATTTATTTGCTTTTTCTTCACGCTCACTGTCACTAAGATTTTCCTTGCTGAATTTCTCACGTGATTGACGTTTTCGTTTAGAAATTTTTGGCATCCTTCAAATTAAATATTTATTAAAATCGGTCTACTTCGAAATTATTTAACTTATAAACAAAACATGATATTACCTAGAAACTTTCACAAGTTGTTTGAAAAATGTAGAAGAATAAAACTACGCTTGAGGATTTTTTGTTAATATGAAGGTTTTAAGTATTCGATTAATATAAAATATTATATTTTATTAAAACGAATCTACCCGATATTTGTAAATTAGAACTAATGTGAACTTTAGCAAAAAAATCGAGTGTAACTTTATTGCAATAGTCCTTGTGAAGATTTTTCAATCAAAAGAAGTTAGAAAAACAGATGCAAAGTTCAGGTGAATCCTTTAGAATTTGATGCCTTTTCCTTACAATAAAATTATGTAAAATGATTATTAATTTGAGTTTTAATTTCGCTGATAAAAAATTTGATCATAGTAAAATGATCAATTTAACTAACATAGTTTTGATTAACTAATCACGTATTCCCAATTTTAGGGTCGTGTCAAATTATAAATTGATCTGCATATTGCATAAATCGTATTCTTGATACTATTATAAAAAATTCACCATAAATGCATCAAAAAAGTAACGCCTAACCGGACATGGCTTTAGCTATCCCCAATTTTAGACACAATTGAATACACAAATCCGGTGACGAAGTTGCATGTGAAAAATTAAATCGGTATTCACGCCAAATTAATTGCAAGATTAAGTAACCTCATTAAATTGCGTTAACGAATATGAAAGCAATTTATTTCTCCTTCTGAAAAATATTTTTCCAAAATCACTACATTATAGGCGTTTTTAGGCTAAAAAAAATATATCTTTTCCAAGCGTTATTAAGTTTTTCATAAAAAAAGAATTACAATTTATAAATAAAGTTTACAAATGGCAGAAGGAAAAGCTGGTATGTAAATATTTTTTATAAAGTGAAATTTTGATGTTTAATATTTTATCATTTTAATGTGTTTTTTTCCTTATGCACTTTAGTTGGTATCGATTTAGGAACGACATGCTCTTGTGTCGGTGTATGGTTAAACAACCGGGTTGAAATTATTGCAAACGACCAGTGTAATCTAACGACGCCTTCATATGTTGCTTTCACCGATACAGAGTGTCTGATTGGTGATCCCGCAAAAAACCAAGTCGCCATGAATCCTAATAATACTGTTTTTGGCGCCAAACGTCTTATTGGTCGTAGATTTACTGATCCTGAAGTACAGTCGGATATGAAGGTACTTTGAATTTTTGATTTTTTATTAAGTAGATTCTGCAACAATCTAACAATTTCGAGATATGTAATAGTAAGCAAGATAAAGTGCATTATTAATACTAAGCTATCGATTTTGATAGTTTATTACAAAATTATTTCATTATTGGC